TTAAGTGGAAATCAAAATGTCAATAGTGATAAAATAAATGGTTCGGAAATGGGTCTGCACTTATACAAATTCAATGTATAATATATCAAATTAAATCCCTTCTGTCTAGTTTCCAAAGATTCAAAATGTTCTCAATTAGATTTTTATTGAGCAAGTTATGGTCAATTTACTACTGATTGTTCAGTGAAAACTGAAATGTCAGTAATGATAAAATGAATGGTTCGGAAATGGGTCTGCAGTTATCCAAATTCAGCGTATAATATATCAAATTAAAGTCCTGTCTATCTAGTTTTCAAATATTTAAACAGTTCATCAATTGAATCTTTATTGAGAAAGTTATAGCAAATTTACTACTGATTGTTTAATAGAAACCGAGAAACGGGGGAAACCAAAATATGTGTGATGATAAAATAAATGGTTCGATAGTGGGTCTACAGTTATCCAAATTTAGTGTATAATATATCAAATTAAAACGCTATATGTCTAGTTTTCAAATATTGAAATCATTCATCAATTGGATTTTTATTGAGCAAGTTACAGCAGATTTACTACTAATTGTTCAGTGGAAATCGAGAAACGGGAGAAACAAAAATGTGTGTGATGATACATGAATGGTTTGATAGTAGGTCTACAGTTATCCAAATTTAGTGTATGATATATCAAATTAAATCTCTGTCTGTCTAGTTTTTAAAAATTCAAACCGTTCTTCAGTTGGATCTTTATTGAGTAAGTTATAGCAAATTTACTACTGATTGTTTAGTGGAAACTGAGAAACGATCAAAGCAAAATGTGTGTGATGATAAAATGAATGGTTTGATAGTGGGTCTACAATTATCCAAATTCAGCGTATAATATATCAAATTAAAGCATTGTCTATCTAGTTTTAAAATATTCAAACCGTTTATCAATTGAATTTTTATTGAGCAAGTTATGGTCAATTTACTACTGACTGTTCAGTGGAAACTGAGAAACATGGGAAATCAAAATGTGTGTGATGATAAAATAAATTGTTTGCCAATGGGTCTATAGTCATCTAAATTTAACACAAATATATCAAATTAAAGTCCTGTCTGTCTAGTTTTCAACTATTTAAATCATTCATAATTGGTTTTTTATTGAGAAAGTTATGGCCAATTTACTACTGACTGCTTAATGGAAACCGAAATATGTGTGATGATAAAATGAATGGTTCGGCAGGGAGTCTAAAGTTATCTCAATTCAACGTATAATATATCAAATTAAAACGTTATCTGTCTAGTTTTCAAATATTTAAACCGTTCATCAACTGGATCTTTATTGAGCAAGTTATAACAAATTTACTATTGACTGTTCAATGGAAACTGAGAAATAGGGAAAACCAAAATGCGTGTGATGATAAAATAAATGGTTCAGGTGTGAGTCTATGGTTATCCAAATTCAGTGTAAAACATATCAAATTAAAGCTCTATCTATCTAATTTCTAAATATAGAAATCGTTCATCAATTGAATTTTTATTGAACAAGTTATGGTCAATTTACTACTGACTGTTCAGTAAAAATTGAGAAACAGAGAAAACTAAAATGTATGTGATGATAAAATTAATGGTTTGCCAATGGGTCTACAGTTATCTAAATTCACCGTATAATATAACAAAATAAAGCCTTGTCTGTCTAGTTTTCAAAGATTCAAACCGTTCATCAATTAGATTTTTATTGAGAAAGTTATGACCAATTTACTATTGACTGCTTAATAGAAACCGAGAAACAGGGGAAACCCACATGTGTGTGATGATAAAATGAATGGTTCGACAGGGATCCAAATTCAGCGTATAATATATCAAATTTAAACGTTGTCTGTCTAGTTTCCAAATATTCAAACCGTTCATTAATTGGATCTTTGTTGAGCAAGTTATAGCAAATTTACAACTAACTATTTAGTCAAAACAGAGAAACAGGGAAAACCGTAATATGTATGATGATAAAATGAATGGTTTAGCCATGGGTCTACAGTTATCCAAAATCAGCATATAATATATATCAAATTAAAGTTCTGGCTGTCTAGTTTCCAAATATTCAAACCGTTCATCAAGTGAATTTTTATTGAGCAAGCTATGGTCAATTTACTTCTAATTGTTCAGTAGAAACCGAGAAATAGGGGAAACCAAAATGTGTGTGATAATAAAATGAACGGTTTAGTAATGGGTCTACAGTTTCCAAAATTCAACGTTTACAGATTAAATTAAATCCTTATCTATCTAGTTTCCAAATATTCAAACCGTTTGTCAATTGGAGTTTTATTGAGAAAGTTATTACCAATTTACTACTGACTGTTCAGTAAAAACCGAAAAATGGAGGAAACTGAAATGTGTGTGATGATAAAATGAATGGTTCAACAATGTATCTACAATTATCAAAATTCAGTGTATAATATATCAAATTAAATTCTTGTCTATCTAGTTTTCAAATATTCAAACCGTTCGTCAGTTGAAGTTTTATTGAGCAAGTTATTATCATTTTACTATTGGCTATTCAGTAGAAACCGAGAAACGGGGGAAACCCAAATATGTGTAATAATAAAATGAATGGTTCGGCAGTGGGTCTACAATTATCCAAATTCAGCATATAATATATCAAATAAATCCTTGGCTATCTAGTTTTCAAATATTTATACCATTCATCAATGGATATTTATTAAGCAAGTTATAGAAGATTTACTATTGACTATTCAGTGGAAATCGAGAAACAGGGAAAACCGAAATGTGTGTGATGATAAAATGAATGGTTCGGCAATGGGTCTACAGTTATCCAAATTCAGCGTATAATATATCAAATTAAATTCCTATCTGTCTAGTTTCCAAATATTCAAACCATTTGTCAAATGGATTTTTATTAAGCAAGTTATCTCCAATTTACTATTGACTGTTACAATTCTATAGTTCAATGAATAATGGTTCAACATCTGGTCTCTTGTAATTCTATAGTAAAATCTTCCTTTGATATGTTTATTGATCATATTTTGTTCAGCAACTTGCTTGCAGCAATTAAGATGAACATCATGAAATAAACTTTTAATGTAGTATTAAGTAAAATGGACATTACAGTATTACAATTGTTAATGGATAATGTTCAACAAATGGTCTATTGTAATTGTATTGTACAATCTAAATAGCTTTGCATCTCGACTCTTACAATTAAACAGAATAGTTCGGCAAGTGACTACAATTATAGAGTACAATCATCAATAACATTATGATAAAAATGGTTTGGCACAGACATCAGCAAATAGCAACAAAACCACTGATCATAATTATTCGCCAACAAAACCATTGATCATAATTGCTCGGCACATAGATTTTTTCAGTACAACAGTTGACAAATAAATTGTTCAGAATGGTCCGCCTATGTCTTCTTATAACTTTTTATAATCGAAGAACAAAATTACTGGTTCGACAAATTGATCTGACGATTCTGTAGGAGGATGTACAATTCACCATTTGGACTAAAACAATGAAATAGTCAAAACCATACAATAACTTACATACCCTTTATTTAAAAAAAAAAAAAAACTATATGACAAACATGATAAGCAATTGAACTAGAATATAACAATACAGAATAAACTCCAAGCAATTAAAGAAGCGTAGTCAAATGAATACATTACCTTCAACAGCATGTAATTTTCAACTATGACAACAAATATTATATTCCAACCAAAAGTATATAACTACATGAAATCAAAATAAAAAATTTAACAATAAACTGGAAAAACCAAAAGAAAACAATCACAAATAAAAATTAAAAATTGATTACCTCTCTTTCTTCAAATAAATCATGTAACAAAATGTTAATATATATATAATTCAAAATAATGAATACAGTATACAAGGTATCTTTTCATATTCACGAAAATCAATAATATACTTTATCAATCCATTAATATTCACATTTATTCATGCATTTATATCATTTCACAAATAATATTAAAGCCCCCTTCACATTTCACATCTATTCATGCATTTATACCCTTTCACAAATAATATAGATGTGCTCCTTCACATTCAATTAGACAAAATCAATGAATCAAACTAAATTCATCAAAAACAATGAAACATAAAACAATAAATATGAATGTAAAGTGTTTATATTTATCCAATTAAACATTAAACAAACATATAACCATCAAAACATTTAATGTAAATGTGAAGTGTTTCTACAAAGCATTGAATGCTTGTAGTTATACCAAATAGCCTAGACTAATAACATGTTCACACGTACAGTAATTATAGTCTAAACCAATAACATGTTGACACTTATAGCAAAATCCTAAGTGATGTTCAAATAACAAGTGCTTCATAATTATGTAGATATATGGATTTCAAAATAGATGAGGAAAGAAAATTTCTTCAAGCATGTGTGTACCAGAAGCCCAATCTAAAGAATAATGTCATTGTGTATACAACATTGGACAAATCAATAACCACATCAGGACTCAGGAGAATTTGCATTTAGAAAGCGTGTGATTACCTATATTTCATATCCTTATGAATATGAGCTCAGTTTTAAATTATTTCAGATAATAAAATTACTACATTTTTATAATTTTTTTAAATGTGCCTTATTAAGATTGATTGTGGAATTGTTATAAATTTTTTTATTTCCTGCAATTGCTCATGATAATAATCCAAATTCGAGACCTCGACTCTGTAAATAAAGCATTACTCTATTATTGACATCCAATCCAATCCATGGCATGGCAGCTTGACTTGAAGGAAATAAAGAATTTTTGATGTACAGTATTCAAATAAATGACGTAAATGAAACTTAATTAATAAAGTAAAAAAACTTCCACAACACTATTTTGTAGCATGGTTACTCAATATTCCCATAATCTGCCACAAGATGAAATTGGCCTGCGTGATTCAAGTTTCACTCATTTATACCATAACAGAAATTGTGACATTTTCCCTTATTCTATGTGATGTTTCATGTAACACAGTTTCCTTTCAAAAATGCAACTGCTGTAGAACTGAAATGCTTGACATTACTATTACACAAAGAAATAGTGATAAAGATTATTACATAAACCCGCGGTATTGGCTCTTCTGGTTTGGATAAGTGATAAGACCCATAAACAGGCGTAGCAAGAAAAGGAAGGAAGAATCTCATTAGTTACAAAGCTATAGCCAATATTCTTTGTTCACATGTTAATTAATAGAGAAATGCTAGTCTTACAAAGATGCATACAAAAAGGGGCATACAAAGACAAATCCTACCCTTAATCTTCATGATTGTCTCTCTCTGGCGCTTTTTCCCTTCTTTCAAGAGTATGATTTATCTTTGTATGCCCCTCTTTGTATGCATCTTTGTAAGGCTAGTATTCCTCTAATTAATATCAGTCTCAACAAAGTACATTTCAGCTCTGAGCGGAGGCAGCAGGATTTGAACTTGAAAATGTCAACAATCCAGAACCACCCTCTGGATTACTATTCTCGTCATTGGCATGCCGAACAAACTCCTCAGGGGACATGTGGCAACCATGACAAGCACAAACAATCCTGATTTGGTTTGCACTGTACCTATAAGTAACACCAGAAATTGTCCTACCATTTGGGCCAGAACCCTTGGTTGATACCCATGGTAAATTTGGGTAAGAACCACATCCCCCAAATTTCAGCTCTGCTTCAATACCTGGCTTTATAGCTGATAAATCAAGAGTGAAACCATCTAATGTTGAACGGTCGGATGCATCTTTTGCCCTATTGTTCACGCCACTTACTTTACCATCTTCTTCTGCCTGAGTAGATGAACCTTCTTCTGTGCCATGCTGTTTCCCTTCACCTTTGGCCCATTCTATAGTCCTCCCATCAAATTGCATGGCAGCTACATCAACATAGCAGGATAAAGAACAGAAATTCTTTCAATAATAAATCTTGTAATTAAAATAGCAAGAGAAAACGCCATTCTTTCCAGGAGAAAAAAAACAACAAAAGCAGCACCAGCAAACAGTGGTAGAATTTTCAAATTTGTAATGACAAAAGGTGGGCATAGCCTCAAAAGAAAAATAGTTAAAACAATATTTTGCCCAGGTCCTTTGGAGTATTCTATTATCCTTTCACCAGTTAAAACATGACGAACATTAAAAGTAAATAATTAAGTACAATTCGGCTTCAAATGGTTTTGACAACATATTTGAATTCAGATAATCAATTTTCTTCCTAGGTAGGGCAACAATGTGTCAATAGGCAAAGAGTATATCAGCTAAGATCAATGTTCTGTCCAAATGCACTTTGATGTCAAGAATGGTAAGAGCCCTTTGAATAGTGTCACTGGAATGGAAAAGGGATGTTAGAGCATATTTTACCAGCATACCTCCTAGAGAATATCCTAACCATTTCTTCTCCATTCTTTAATAAAGAAGCATAAAGAAGTGAACTACCAGACCTTGAGATATCTTTAATCCATCGTTCTGCTTATCTGAGTTAGGCGGACCTCTGCCAGCATAGGAAGGGTGAAGCTGCTGAGATTGAGAAACCGACCCCCAGGAGTTATCTTTATCAAACATTGGCAGTTGGACAGGTGAGTACCCAAACATAACTGGGAAGTTTCCAGGATTCACAGACTGGGCTCCTTGACGATCATTATTTGTAGTAGGCATCTTCTGTATCATGCCAGGTAGTGGATGGCCAGATGAGCCAGGTACACCAGAAGAGTTAGAATCTTTCATAGATATTGTGTATGGAATATTCATGATGTTTAGTGATTGGACTGAGAATGGAGCGCCGTAGGTCATGTTTCCAAGCTTAAATTCATTTTCTGATGAACTGTTAAACCTCTTTTGTCCTTGTAGATTCACAATGTTTGAATTAGAAAACCCACGGACGTCCTTCGAAACCTCAGAAGCACCGGCAACTCCACTGTATTGTTTGGAACCATCATCATGGTGAGAAACCAGCCTTGATGTTGAGCCCTCAACTTCAGACTCGGCCACATCTTCATTTTCAGCAGTCGAGCCTTCCTCAGTTGTTATGGAAATATAGGATGTTTTTGTTTTGTCATGTAAATCAGCAGGGTGAGCTTCTCTCTCATGCTTTTTTTGATTGTTCATGTCATCAAACAACATTTTCCGTTTGTTACTTGCCTCTGGTCGTTTTGCTTCCTCAATTTCAGGTCTGCTGTTTGTAACCCAGAGCCCTCTGCCGTTCAAGTTCATAGAAGGATCGGCATCAGCACTGGCCTTGCAAAGATCATTAAAGAAATTTTCTTGAGGTTTCACAGAATCACTTCTCTGAGATCCAGTACCAGAGTCCAGTTTCTGGTTGCCGCCATTCAGGAAATTTTTAAAATCATCTATTTTGTTGCCTCTATCATCTTCTTCTGTTTTAGCATCCAAAGAGCCACCACTTTTACCTTTGGATTTAACAGCTGATCCACCAAAGGATAAACCCAAACTCAGCTCAAGACCATTATCATCTTCCATACTGTGGATAGATGTATATCAACGTGGGTTTAGCATAACCTTTTTCAATCCTGCATACTATACCTCATACCATTGATCCCATCATGATGAGATGATCATCATAAAAAGCCTGCATAAAAGTAATTTTATTAAGGGAAACAATAAAGAAAGTAAAATTTGATTCCACCAGCATTGCCATATGAAAAAAAAAAAAAAGAAGAAGATTGAAATAAAATTCACTGACATACAGATAAAGAGCTCCAATGACCAATCCAATTCAGTCTATTGATGTCTAAATAAATGCATTTCATCAAGAATACTAGATTACACATTTAACATTATCGCGAATTAATTTGCATCAAAGCAAGAATACTAGATGTCCAATTTAAAGTTTATCACTGAGTTATATAAAAGAATCTAATTGGTAGTATATGTAATTAATTTCCAAATCATACAAGATTTAGGAAATCCAAATAACCATATTAACATCACTAAGAAACTTTCTTAGACTTCAACCACAATTTACATAAAAGAGGATAAAAGATCAAAAAACCAAGCACAAAACGCTAGGAATATACACAGTATCCTGCGCATATATAGGAGCAGTTTCATTTAACCATCTGCATAAGATCAGAGATCCATCCAACGACTCTCTTTGTTTGCAAAGACACTAATCAAAACTGAAATTAAAGTACCACGCCTCAAATTTTCCATCATCCAAGACCACAGGATGTAAACCTCTCCATTCAAGCGAACCTAATACAACTACATAGCTCAGCTGAGATAAAATGTAAACCATTTTAACAAAGTCAAAGCAAAAAGAGGCCTTAATCCATCAGTTTTCCCTTTCTCATTTCTCAACAATCAAACTATAAACCCCAGATCTGCAAATCACCCAATCATGCATGCAAGCTAAAAAATCACAGAAATTAAGCAAACCCAAAACTTTAACGTCAAAAACGAGCAAACCCAGAAAAGCTTGTACACAGAAACAGTGAATATTAATAGAACTAGTAAAAATTAATAAATAAACGGGATCCAAAGAAGATCAAAACCTCCACATAAACAAGGTTTGTGAAAATTATACAAAGTTGAAGAAACAAAAACCACCAAATCCCAAGAAACAATTGTTGTAGAATAACAATTCAAAAGTGAAACAAAATGATAGAAAAAGAAAACCTGAATCGAGCGACAGAAGATGTAAAGGAAACCCTAGGGTCAAGGTTGTGTTTGCAAATAGAAGAGTGACAGAAAGATAGAGAGAGGGAGAGAGAGGACGAGGATTTTGGCCTTTAGGTACAACTTAGTGGGAGAAGCTTTTAAACACCACCTGTACTCTTTTTTTTTTTTTTTTAAATAAATAAGCATGTGTTTATCATGTCGATTCATCTGCCGTTTTACACATTTCATTTTTTAAATAAATGTAACTAGTTTTATTTATTTATTTAATAAATAAATTATTTAGTTGGCCTGCCGTTTACAGGCCATGTGCTATTTGACGAAGGCATGTAAAATTAAAAATTAGTTAACTATTTTTTCTCACCAAAATGCCATTTTTTCATTCACAACTTTTAAAAATATTATTTTATTATTAAATTTATATTTTGATAATAAATAAAGAGCAAATTCGGTATAGATTGTTAGGGTTTTTAAAAAAATAAAACTGATAAATCATTTGGTGGTAGAATATTAGATTTTGGTAGTTATGATTAATCAAAACTTAACTTGGGAGGGACAACTATACAAACCCTAACGCTTAATTGACGACAATTGGCAAGGTCGACAGAAATAGAGTTTGAGGATTTTTTGTGAGTGATGATCGAGGAAGAGAATGGTAATGGTGTAAGAACGCAATGATGTCAAAATTGAAAACGAAATATAAATTTTAGTAATAAAATTGTATTTTAAAAGTCTATAAACGAAAAAAAAATCATAAAACCATTATTTAGGTGAGAAAAAGTTTCAATTACTCTTACCATTACTATTCAAGTAAATTGTAGACGAGCTTTTATTCCCATCAAACTAAATTAATTATTAACTTTGGCAAACTCATTAGTGTAGATTCATGCTATGAAGAAGAAAACGTTTCGGCTTTTGTAGACAGATCCATATGAAAATAAATAAAGTTGGTTTCATTTAACGTGCTTATTTTGTTGCTAGGAGAAGTGTTTTTATTCTTTCATATATATATACATAAAGAGGGCCGGAGTTTAATTGTGCACTATTTATCACGTGTTCTATTAATAAATGGGCTACCCATTAGGCCCAATTCAAGAAACTCTTCCTCTTTGACGTTGAAGGTTGGCGCAAAATTTTATAGAGGAAAACTCATCAAAATATAACTCATTTTATTAAAACATTATTGGTTGTGTCAAAGCGAAATTGAGCTTCTCTTACAAGAGTAAAGCAATGTATTTCTAAGAAGAGATTCATGACAAGTTTTGAAATGTTAAATACACTTATACTTTGGTATTCCATCAAAATATAAACGTAATTCATTCAGGCACGGGTTCAATTGAATCCGCCCAATTTTAAAAAAAAAATAAAAAAAGTCTTTATATTTTATAGAATTTACAATTTTAACCACACTTAAATTCATGTTCATCTTACAAAATTTTATTATAATTTTATTAATTTAAATGTTTTAAACACACTCACTCACTAAAAATCTTGACTACGTCCGTGAATCTATTGGTTAATGTATAAGATTTAAGTCAAACACGTGTTTAGGATAACCCAAATTCAACCTGTCTAAACACAAGTTGATCACTCATCTTTGTTATCTAATTACGACAAAGTCATTGGTAAACAAATTTCCACATACAATAAGAGAAACGTAATTACAAGTTTGTTAAGCAAAACAATAATAATCTGCTTTTGGATAGGCCAAAATTAACTCCCCCTCCCTCAGGCACTACTTAAATTCATAACCTTATCTCTTCAATTTCTTTTATTTAATTTTTCTGTTCAAATCCTCCCAGACATCCAATCAAAAGTTTGGAATTTAGAGTTAAGTATTCCAGTTGACTCTTATAAAAAGGAAAATTTTATGTATTAAAGAAATTGTTAATAAAAATATCAAAGGCGAGAGTTACGGAACGATGCTTGACAGCAATTATATCTTTGTACGCAACTGCAATATTTTTAACGGCCGGACGATTTCCACCAACCCAAAGTTTGACATAAAGACATATTGATATCCAAAAGGTTTAAAAATAACAAATAGATACTTTCTATCATATTTTGTTAGAGATTTCTCTTTGTTAAAAGACAATATAAGTAATTTCATTCTCACCCCAACCCTATTTGCACAACCCTCTTGCATCATCGATCGATTTTTTGACTAAAATTAGCATTTTGCTGTGAAGTTCGATGATAAACAGTGGCACTAGCCCTTGCTGATGCGCGTTGGGAATGGAGATCGGTGGGTATTCAAGTCTTTTCACTATTTTTGTCTTTTAGTCGATGGAAATTCCTAACAGAACATGACAGAAAGTGAGTGTTTGTTATTTCCAAACCTTTTGAGTATCACTTTGTCTTTACAGCAAATTTTGGGTATGTGTAAGTAGGGATGGGCGTGGGCTGACCGTCCTCGCGGGCAGGGATTTTTCTCATGACCATCCCCAGCCCGTGGGGACAAAATCCCTCCCATCCCTGTCCCAGGCCGGCCCGATGAACGGGGCTTCACGGGGAATTTCTCCCCACAGGGATTTATCCGCTAAACGGGGATTTTTGCACCGTGTAAATCAAAACTTTCCATAACAATAATATTTAATTATTTTAATTGTGAAAAATAGCACATTGATAGATATTATATTTGACAATTTGACTGTTTAATTTCAGTATTTAATTCATTAAAAATGCATAATTTAAGGTAAGAAAATATAAAGTCTAACAATTTCTTGTAAAATTTAAATTAAGATTTAAAAAGCAATACATAACTACTACCATAAACTAAATTAATTGTTACTAAGTTAGCAACACGTTTCTATGTAGTATTAAATAGAGAAATTCAGATTCTACATTCTGATGCTTTATGTTGCTGAGGCATTGACGCATTGTAATGTTTCACTAAAATAGTCTCATCTCCTAAAATTCATAAAATAAATACTTGAAAGAAAATTTTGCTGAAAATTGATATGAATAATTGAATATAGTGAATAACAATAATTTCTTGGGAAAAATTGTAACATGCTCATGGATTTCAAAGCAATAAAATATAAACATCCTTCAGGCTGCATTGTAATAATATAAACATCATTCAGGTTGCATTTTAAATTTATTTTTGGGTCATGTCCCATGTATCATTATTTTGTGAAATTCACAAAGTAATAATACATATATTTAATTATTAGACTCCCTCGTTTAAATTATTTTTCTATAAATTTAATACAGACATTAGAAAATATTATAAAAATAAATATCATAAATTTAGATACATTACTTAAAATCATGATTTAAACTTTAACTTTATATACAGTCTCGTAAAGGAAACAAAAAATTCTTAAAAAAGCGGGGCGAGTGGGGCTCCACAGGTCCCCGGCCCGTCCCCAGATGCAGGGATCTTACCAAGGACCATCCTTGGCCCCCTATCCCCCTTTTTTCAGGGATTCCCAAGCCCATTTAGGCCGAGTCGGGACAGATCCCTGCAGGGCCAGGACAGACGCCCATCTCTATGTGTAAGTCTTCCCCCTATTTTCAACTCTTTCACCATAATTATTGTCCACAATCTTAAAAATAAATAAATAAACCTTAAATTTAATTACAAACTAGTCCCGCGCATATAATAGGCGGTATAGGATTGGACAAAATTAATGGGATTGCACTGTTTTCTGTAATCCAATGTTTGGCTGAATTTGCAGCGTAAAGAATAGGAGTTTTAATACATTCTTGATGGTCCATTGTTTAAACATTAGCATCAAAATAAAATTTCAATAATTAATGAAAAATAAAAAAAATACTTTAATAATTACAATTTAAAAAGTAATTTTACTCATGTTTACATGGGTTTCCAACTCCAGGGTTGGACAATCAATCCAGTCATTATAGTTTGTTTGCTTCTATTATATTTATAATTTATGATCAATTTGGAACCAACACCTCTTTGTTATTTATTTTTTGCGTTGAAAATTATAAGTCTTGGTAATTTAGGAGTTCGGTAAACTCACGTTATATATGCTTGACCCAGGTTTGTTAATTAGATCAATGCCATAGTCATGCTAAGTTTTGTTATATCAATATTAAATTTTTTTTAAGTGCCAATTTAGCAGTTATGAAAATAATCAAAATATTGATTGTAAATAATACTTTATCTATAAATTTTTTATACAAACTGTCACACATTAATATATCAACTTATAAGAAATAATTAACTTGAATAATTTGTATATATAATATTATTAATATAATGATTTTTTCAATCCCCTCGCATTTAAATTTATTGGCAATAGTAAAAGAAAAGCATGTAACGGAAAAACAAAAATATTTGTATTATTACTAATTCAGATCACTCAGGCTTAATGTTGATGGTAAAGCTTATTTAGAGAGATTCAATGTAGTATATTTGTATGGTGAACAAACAAGACTTAAAGGGTGTAGTTGGTTCAGGGAACGTTGGATTACTGATAATGTTATATTAATGGAAAGTTAGATTACCTTGAAGATTACTGGAAATCTTTAGGAAAATATGTTTGATTAATTGGAACAAATTAGTCGGTATGTTATATTAATATGTTTGGTTGGGAGAAATAAATTGGTAAATATGTTATTTAAATTACTAAATTGTCCTATTTTTAAATATTAATATAATTTATTTTTTTTAATATTTCTTTCAACCCTCAACATTTCAGATTTATCTAAAACACCATAACTTATATAAAACTTTAGTTTATAACAAAATCACCCACACCACCCCAAGCCACCGTCGACCACCGCCATTCGCCGTCAGAAGTCGTCGAAAGTGGCTAAAATGGTCGAGAGTCCCTCGGAGACTCCGATATGGTCGTTTTTGGCCATATTGATGGTCAAAAATGACCATATCGAAGTAGATCTAACCGGAAATGGCTAGATCTATATATGGTAAAAAATAGTCAGATCTAGATATGGTCGAAAATAGTCAGAATAAATCTGGCCATTTCTGACCATATCTACTCCGATATGGCCATTTTCGACCATTAATATGGCCAGAAAAGACCATATCGGAGCCTCCCAATGACTCCCAATGACTTTCCAGTGATGGTGGCTGGGTGACGGGGTGGTCTGCAATTTGTTTTAAATATAAGGGCATTGTTGTCCAAAAACTTAATTAAACAAGGGTAAAATTGTAATAGTAGATTAATGTAAATTGATTTTACAACAAGGGCATTATTAGTTTTAGAAATGCCAACACTTGCTAGTTTGGAAAATGCCACCCTAACCTTCGTATGTTTGGTATTTTTTATAGAGAGTACCTACTAGTTTTAGAAATGCAATCCTAACTCCTATTTTTTACAAACCATTAGATTATTCTGTTTAAGTTTAAAAGAAATGACGTTTTTTATAAAAAATTATCAACAATGTTGAGAGGTTAATCAACGGGTGATCACTAAAAAAGGGTCAAACATATTAGAGCCAGGGTTGCAATTCCAAAACCTATGAGAGCTAGGGGGTGTTTGTCTAAGCTTATGAAAATTAGCTTATAAGCTAAAATTAACTTATAAGCATTTGAAATTTTAAGCAATTACGTGTTTGGTGAAAGTACTTATAAGTGACTGATAAGTAATTGACGTGTTTGGTAAAATGTGGCTTATAAGTACATTTTATTATAAAATTACTAAAAAAGGTACTACATTAAACAATGGCATACTATGTAATTTTAAAATTAAATAAGGATAATATGGTAATATACTTGGTCAAACTAGCTTATAAGCAAAGTGCTTATAAGCCAACAAAAAAAAGTACCTCCCCCCCAACTTATTTTTTTTAGCTTATAAGCTCAACTTATAAGCTCAAAAAAATTATAAACAAACAGGTCAGCTTAATTTTAGAGCTTATAAGCAAGTTTGACCAGTTTATAAGCTTAGACAAACACCCCTCTAGAGTCTCATTTCTAAAGCCAACTTATGCTCACCATAAAAAGGATAGAGCAATACTAGTTTTACAAAGACACATACAAATGGGGCATAAAAAGACAATCCCCACTCTTGATTTTCATGATTTCTCTTCTCTCTCTTTCTCTTTTTCCGTTTTTTCTTTGTTTTTTTCTTCTGGATGATGTCACTTTGTAACCTTCTTTATATGGGTCTTTGTAAGAATATCATTTTTTAAAAGGATAAACGGTTGGGTTTACTAAAAAAAAAAAAAAACCAATTAAAAATTGTTTAGAAATCTACTAAAAATATAGGGAAAATTATGGGAAACACAAGCAAAAAGTAAAAAACCGATGAAGATGATTCCATTCTTGAGAGAGAGGTGACGGCGTACGATAGGAATCTAAAACGACATTTGATATATTTAATGAAGTTATTGTTAAGAAAAACAAATTAAAATTTTCTGAACGGGGTTTGATTTCCACTCGTTAATTAAACTTTAATTAAGATTAATAATAACATGATGATGAGAGTGATGACAGTACACCTACGCAATAGTGAAAATGAAATGCAACCCCACACCACAGTACCACACCACACCACCAGCAAATAGCTAAAATTATAGGCCGAACGACATGCACCTACCCATAGTTTTTCATAACGATATTTGATACCCAAAAGGTTTAAAAATGACAATTACCCACTTTCTGTCTATCTTTGTTAATAAAATCTGTTTAAGTAAGGGCAATATAGTAATTTTATACCCATTAACTTTAAATTAATCAATAAATCCCTATAGTTTTTTATTTCATTTTTCTCTTCTCTTTCTCATCTTCTTCTTCATCTCTCCCTTCTCTTTCTTTCTTTTCCTCCGTCTTTTCCCTCCTCCCCTCTTCTCTTTTTTTTACTTTTCTTCTCCGTCTTTTCCCTTCTCTTTCTTCCCTTTCTTCTCCAGTTCTCCCTCTTTTCCCTCCTCCCCTTCTCTTTTTTTCCTTTTCTTCTCCCTCTTTTCCCTTCTCTTTCTTTCCTTTCTTCTCCATCTTTTCCCTCCTCTCGTTCTTTTTTTTCCTTGTCTTCTCTGTCTTTTCCCTCTTCCCCTTCTCTGTTTAACTTTTCTTCTCCCTCTTTTCCCTTTGGTCGCTAGGCAAGAACCCGTCTTTTCCTCCAGTTTTTAATTTTTTTCAAATTTTTATAATTTTTTATAGTTTGGGTTGGAAGTGTCTGAAACTTGTGGTGGTTTGTGGCGGTGGTGATGGTTGTATTTGGTGGTCTTTTCCTCTTCAGTTTTTTAATTTTTAATTTTTTTTCAAATTTTTATAACTTTTTACAGTTTGGGTTGGAAGTGTTTGAAATTTGTGGTGGTTTGTGGTGGTGGTGATGGTTGTATTTGGTGGTCTTTTCCTCTTCAGTTTTTTAATTTTTAATTTTTTTTCAAATTTTTATAACTTTTTACGGTTTGGGCTGGAAGTGTTTGAAATTTGTGGTGGTTTGTGGTGGTGGTGATGGTTGTATTTGGTGGTTCTGGTGGCGAGTTTGGAGCTGGTGGAGGTCCTGACCGAGAAGAAAGGAAGAAAATAGAAGGGAGGAGGGAAAAGACGGAGAAGAAAGGAAAGAAAGAGAAGGGAAAAGAGGGAGAAGAAAAGGAACAAAGAGAAGGGGGGAGGGAAAAGACGAAGAACTGGAGAAGGAAGGAAAGAGAGAAGGGAAAAGAGGGATAAGAAAAAGTAAAAAAGAGAAGGGGAGGAGGGAAAAGAGTCAAAAGACAGAGAAAAAGAAAGAAAGAGAAGGGAGAGATGAAGAAGAAGATAAGAGAGAGAAGAGAAAAATGAAATAAAAAAATATGATAAAAAAAGTTCAGGGATTTATTGATGAATTTAAAATTAATAGATATAAAATCACTATATTACCCTTCTTTAAACAGATTTTATTAACAGAGTTGAACAGAAAGTGGATAATTGTCATTTTTAAACCTTTTGGGTATCAACTTATCGTTATCGCAAACTATGGGTAGCTACATGTCGTTCGGCCAAAATTATATGATAGGCATCATTAATGTTTTTTCTTTCAAGAATTATACAAGTACAATCATTGTATTATGTCTTATTTCCATCACACACATCCCACTACCTATTATCATTAAATGTGTTATTAAAACGTTCTTATGTACAATTTGGTTGAAAATGACTGGATCAGATGTTTTGGGATTATAATTGGATTATTTTAATTTAAGTGAAATCATAATTAGCTCATACATCAAGTTTTCTTCATCATTTGTGTTTGCTTGTGTTACAATAAAGGTACAGAGAAATTGAAGATACTATTTTTTAATATAATTTAATAACTTTTGGCCGATTACATAACCACAAGAAACTAATGTAAGTTTTTACTTTGGTCACTAAGATTTGAAGTATATTTCATTTATCTCCAATATTATGGGATATAAATAGTTATAGTCAATAATGTGAGATTTTTTAATAAAAAATCTATAATACCTATAATGTCTTATTTTCATGCTATTAGCAAAAATAAAATATACGTATATATGATACCAAAATTCATCAAAGCAAAAACTTGAGTGAACAACACAAAAACTTTAAAACATCCAAATTTTTAATTTTTTTTTATTATAATTTTATCGTGTATAACATGTGACTAAGACAACAAGATTTCATTGAAAAAATCTTACCTAAGTGGATAAAACTGTTTATATCCTATGATATTGAAGATAAATACAAAAATAGATCATAGCCGGATATTTATATATTTTTCAATGTCAATAAACAATGACACATATTTCTCCAAACTTAGAGATAAGAGTTAATTTCTCCGCAATACTAGACTAGTCAAACGAAAACTTCGGTCACTCTCAAACTCCAAACTTAGAGATAAGAGTTAAAGTACATTGTTTGAACTGTACTATAAATAATACGGAGAGAATTAGGTAAAATTATACAAGGTTTTCATAGGGAAGAGAATCTGTTATGAAATTAAAGATGAATATTAAATATTTGATGACCTTATAATTTTAATATATACACAGAGATTATAAGATGATATAATAAATAATGTAATTAATAATAAGATATTTTAGAATATGATTAATTAGGAAAAATACTTCTTATTATACCTATATTTATAATAATTATGAGAAAATTATATCACGTCTCCCTCTGAAAACTATATCACGTCTCCCTCTGAAAACTATATATTATATTTAATGTAATAAAAGATGACGTAAAAAGAAGAAAAAAAACACACTCAAAGTCAACTTGTTTGAATAGTATTATGAATAGCAAGTTGGAAATAAAGAAATTACATACAGATATTGAGATAAGGGTTTTGAAATTTAATATAAGACTTGGTCGTCTCTCTTTTCAGTGCTTTTCTCTGCACAGACTTCTGTTCATCTCTGTTGCCTTGTTTAGTATATATATATATATGAAACACTCTCTTCCCTAGCCAAGCACATAAACAGAAGAAGAAACTAATGGCTGGAGGAGGATTTTCAGATGCGGGCACCCTTAAGAGGGCTCATCTTTATGAGTACAAGACCACTCCTTATTTCGTAGTTGCTTGCATTGTTGCAGCCTCTGGAGGGTCTCTATTTGGGTATGATCTTGGTGTTTCTGGTGAGTTTCCCGATCTGTTCATTTCCTTTATAATTATGTTCAAGATCTCTTGGCAAATTAAATTTAGTGGGTGTTTTTGAAGTACCTGACTGATAAACCTGTATTATGTGTTTCTGATGTTGAGTTGTGAATATTTTTTTATAATATTGTTCACAATAATGAACTTTTTTAATATTGTTATCGTCTTCATCGTCAAATTGCCATTAGAGTTTTTGAGGATAATTTCAATTCAATTATGCTTCTGAAAGTTGAAAGTCCAAAATGGACGGCGTGCAGTCTCAACCATTGACCATTCATTTTAATTATTAAATTAATAAAATTTTGTTTTGGTTTGAATAAGGGGGAGTGACTTCCATGGATGATTTCTTGAAGGTGTTCTTCCCAAAAGTGTACCGAAGAAAGCAAGAACATTTGCAAGAGACAGATTATTGTAAATACGATGACCAGATTCTGACACTGTTTACATCTTCATTATACTTTGCGGGTCTTATCTCAACGTTTGGAGCGTCGCATGTGACCAGAAACAAAGGTAGGAAAGCTAGCATTCTGGTTGGAGCAGTGAACTTCTTTTTAGGAGCAATATTGAATGCATTTGCAGTCAACATCTGGATGCTCATCGTAGGACGAATCTTACTCGGTGTAGGCATTGGATTTGGCAATCAAGTAAGACCATTCAAACAAATTTTAAATTTCATCTTCTGAATTTAATTTAATGACCTCCTAACTCTTTAATTAATGTTAATGGTACAGGCAGTTCCGTTGTATCTTTCAGAAATTTCACCAGCAAAAATCCGAGGAACAGTTAACCAACTGTTTCAATTAACAACATGTTTAGGGATCCTAGTAGCAAACTTAATAAATTATGGTACTAATAAAATTCATCCATGGGGTTGGAGATTATCCCTTGGTTTAGCCACAGTACCAGCAGCGATAATGTTTTTTGGCGGTCTTTGCCTCCCCGAGACTCCTAACAGCCTTGTAGAACAAGGCAAACTAGAAGAAGGGAAGAAGGTGTTGGAGAAAATCAGAGGTACCCCCAACATTGATGCTGAATTCGCTGATCTTATTGACGCCAGCAATGCAGCACAAGCAGTAAAGCACCCCTTCAGGAATCTCCTTCAACGTAAGAATCGTCCCCAATTGATAATAGGGGCCTTGGCAATTCCAGCTTTCCAACAGTTAACAGGCATGAATTCAATACTCTTCTATGCTCCGGTCATATTTCAGAGTTTGGGTTTTGGTTCAGGGGCATCTCTCTATTCATCCATCATAACAGGTGTAGCTCTTGTTGTTGCTGCGCTTATTTCCATGTTTTTTGTGGATAAATTTGGCAGAAGAGCTTTCTTTATAGAAGCTGGAATTGAAATGATTTGCTACATGGTAATCGTCCTCAACATATATAAATATATATATATTTTTTTTTTCATGTTTTGTTTACTATTGGTAGCCCGTATACTTACTTGAATGTTGGATGTGTGAGCCAGATAATTGTGGCCATAGTTTTGGCTCTGGAGTTTGGAGAAGGAAAGGCCCTCCCTAAAGCAGTAGGCGCCATCCTTGTAGTGGTCATCTGCTTATTTGTTGTGGCCTATGGTAGGTCTTGGGGTCCTCTGGGTTGGTTAGTTCCAAGTGAGATCTTTCCTTTGGAGACAAGATCAGCTGGTCAAAGTATGGTGGTCTGTGTAAATCTCCTCTTCACAGCTTTAATAGCACAATGTTTCCTCGCGTCACTTTGTCATCTCAGATATGGAATTTTCTTGCTGTTTGGTGGCCTGGTTTTCATCATGACCTGCTTCATTTACTTCCTATTGCCTGAAACTAAGCAAGTTCCAATAGAGGAAATTTATCTTCTATGGCAAAGCCATTGGTACTGGAAGAACATAGTAGGAGAAGCAGAGGACCCACTTGAGTTGAAGGAAAGGAAACTTGAAGCGTAGTTAGGGACGCAAGTCTTTAATTACCCAGGAATAATATAGTTCAGTTTTATATTACCTACTTATTACTTTGGCTGAGGGAAACTAGATTGAATATAAGGGCCGTAAGTTTAGAATATCTAGTGTTAAGATTTGTTACCTATAATCTGTATTTAAATGCAATATTTTAATAAAGGCTTTAAGAATTGTCATTTTAATTGGTAAGAAAGCTTCAAAATACCTGGCTTTGTGGATGGACCTTCACCTTTTTAACATCTAATCATCATGCCATGCCTTGGGATTGAGAATGCAAACCTACTACCATGCCTAGCCGAAGAGAACGCTAAAAGCAAAGCAATACATAAAATGGAGATTCTAGGTATAAAAACCAGAATCAGATAAAATTAACAAAAAAATCATCTTATTGCAATACATCTCAGAAAAGGACTAGTGCTTATTATGCTAATAGTTTAGCAAGGTCATCTATTCCCAGGCTTCCCTGTGGTGCTACATGTAGACAATGTTCATCTGTATTTTCTAGTCTATTACGAGTCTGCCTCGCATTTCTTCTTTTCTCAGCAAAAGATGCTACTTCTCTTTTCACTTCCAAATCCCCAGTTTCTTTCTTCTCATTCTTCTCGTTCTTTTGAGTTGCTTTCTTCCTTGACCTATGCATAAAAACAGGCCCAGGCGGAGCTGATTTGGCAAAGGCGACTGACTTTTCATATATACTGTCTGCATCCAATGTTCTATCATCTAAAACTAAAGCACTTCCACTCTCAACAGCTTCCTTCATTAGAAGTAAAACGCTCTCCATACTAGGGCTACAGAACCTTGCTGGCCCATTGTCATCTTGAGAGACGTCTGAAAGATTCTGTAATTCGTTACGATTTAAAGAACCAGCAAAGAAAGACTCAGAGTGGTTTCCAGTGCTCTCACCACCTCCTAGCACAGTCTCTGATCCCATTGATGTAGGTGCTGGCTCTTCATTAACAAAGCCTTTATTATTCAATATGGCCTCATTATCAAAACCAGAACTATCCAAATTGGTCACACTACCGTAGACATTCCTTGGGGCATTGATCTCATCATCCAAGAACCCTGTGTTAGTGTTATCAAATGTAGTTTCATTAGCTGCCATCACAGTTGAAACTGAGGCAGAAGCTGAGCGTGATTCACCATCATCTACAGGGGACATATCCTCATGTGGCTCAGCATGCACATCTTCGGAACCCACAGAGGACATGATTGTATCCGATGTTACAGGCCTGGCATCCTTAACTGAGAGCAAATGAGCATCTGATGTTGCTAATTCATTACCTTCTAAAGTTGATGCAACAGAAATTGCATCAACTTCTTCAAATGTCTTATTTTCTGGTTTTGGGAGAGAGGACTTCCAGTCCCTTCCTCTCCACATGAGTATGTGCTCACGTTCAAATGAGATTAGAACACATGGGACAAGATCCTGGGATTAAAAAATTAGAGGAATTATTATCTCTATTTAAAAAAAAAAAAAGATTTCAGAAAAAAGGAAAAAGAAGAAGTCATGTTACCTTAAGTTTGGCACCAATTTTCCGGTAGTCGCTCCCATTCATTCCTTGACAATTAATACGGACCAATTCACACTCTTCAAATGCCTCTTTAACATTTTTCACTAGGTCACAGTACACACCATTCTTCCCTGCAATACATGCAAACATGAATTAGTGAGTTTGCTAAGGTAAAACTGATTCTAGCTTCACTTTACACATAAACTTCAGCGATAGTCATCTACCTAGCTTGCATATTGGTATCAGAGTCCTTCCCTTTTTGCGCATTTCGGAAGCTTCTTCCAGTGTTAGACCCTCTGGAGCCCTCTCAATCAACCTCGGATATACAGGAGTGGCAGGCTTCCACAGCATAAGAGGAAAACGCGGACGAGCCCTGTAGTTATAGTTTCTGCCTCTAAAAAGGTATAACACCCCTCCTCGTCTATAAATTATCTTCCCTCCTGTTCTTTCCTGCCAAATCATGAAAGATGGACACAGCTTACTAATCAAACAACAATATCCAAGAACCCCAAAATTACCATATTCTTTAAGCAACAAGATGAACAAACCTCTAATTGCTGGCACACATTGTCCATGTCGACTGTACAGACTCCTTTGCACTTAATCTTGCACACTCTCCTCCGTTTCCAATGAGAATGAATATTATCCAACATGTTATGTGTCAAACCATCTCTACCTGCAAACATTATTGTAAGCTTTGTCTTCAACAACAGAATCTAAAACAAAATAACAATGAATTACCAATATTCAACTGCCGGTTTGACTTGATGCACGAGTGAACTAGCTCCTCAACTTCCTCCTTGGTTAAGGGCTCCCCCAAAATTTCCTCCCTCGATGACACGTACCTGGGTCCGCTTCCGGGCAAATAGGGACCCGGCTTCTGCACCGGTTTCACTCCCTTCTTATTAGGTGGCGGCAATTCAAACGAGTCAAACTCCTTCAACTTTTTCTTACTCGCGGGCAATGGGGCCCGCCCAGTCCACGGCCGTGACATCGTGGTGGGCCCAAACGGCGCGTACGGTTCGCGCAATTTTAGTGGCTTCACCTTTGGTGTCTCCGTGTAGCTGTATTTGAACTCAAATGGCGCTCCATCGATTACGTAAGAGATGCCGTCTTCGCCCACAGTTACGTTGGCTTTTGGATTGGCCGCTTTCTCTCGGGACAAGTCGGTGATTTTGGGCTTTGTCAAGATTTTGCGAAATGCGGGATGGTCGTCGGGATTGGCGGGTTTGGAGTACTTGGACTTTTTACCGGGAATAGAGGGCCGTGAAGGAGAGGAGGGCGTGCCTGTGGACTTGTAAACAATGACGTTTGCAACGTTAGAGTCATAGTCGTTAATTTGGGCAATTTTAGAGGCGGAGTCGAAGCGGCGGTGGCGCCGGATATCGTCTTCGATTTCTTGTTGAGCGCGTTGGCGTTGGTTGAATTTCTCTGCGTGGGCGTTGTTCCACCGCGAAAACCGGACCTCAGTGGGCGGGCGTTGATTTGACGGGTTAGGGTTCGGGGTCGGGCTTGGAGGTGGAGCGAAGATTGGGAACGGGATGGTCAGTTTGAGCGCCATAACTGACAAGTAAACATCAACCCAAAATAAAAAATAAAAAATCTATCGACCCAAGCATGTTCCTGTATGTGGAAAGTGGAAACACAAAATAAAGCTAAAACCGAGTGTTTGACTTGATGGATGAAGCGAGCAAACGACATCGTTTCAACGGTCAGTGGCTGGAACGTAAATATTGTAGAAGAAGAGAGGCAATTAATAACTTATTCTTCTTCAAGTTTTTTAAAGAGAATTGACCAAGTTGAGACTTTCACTGGAGACTGGAGACTGGAGAGTGAACTGAACTTCGTTGCCGACAAATAGTGACTCACAACTTATGATGCTTCTGAGGTCTGACCATGGATAGCATCCACAGGTAATTCATATGCTTATATACGTTATATACTCAGAAAAGACAAAAAAAATTCCTTTCAATGGCTTAGATTTTCTGTTGGTTCTAATAAAGAGAGAATGTTCCTCACTTTTTTCTAGTTTTGATCTTAAAGTAGCAGCTACTTATATCTTTCTGCTTTCTAGTAGCTTCACAGTAATCTTTCTGCTTTTCAGTAGTTTCATGATATTATTGATTCTTCTGGTCCTTTATTTTAATTAATATTTATTTCAGGACACAGTATTCCATATTGGGGTTGGAGAGATAGTGTGATTGGATGAATATTTCAGTTTATTTTTGCTATGGATATTTTTTTGCTATTTCAGAGGTTATGTCATGTTGGAATCAGGAGATTGCTGTTGATCATTGGTATATTAGTTCCTGTTGTAGTTGTTTATCAGTGTTTTGCAATTTCATATAGCAAAAATTTGCCCCTATTGCTAGCATCTGATAAGGGTTTAGTAGCAATGACGGTTGGCAATGCGACCATTATAGACGATTCTAAACCGACTACTATTTTTGTGGCTATGCCTAATGATAAAGAAAGTAAAGTAATGGCTACAGATTATAATTTGGGATTAGATGGTGGGAATTTCTTTGATAATTCTTTCCATAAGAATGAGGATGGAGATTCACAGGAGGGTGTAACTGATGTCAAAAGTTTGAATGTGGGATATGTAATGGACACAGCTACAAGTTCCACTGAAATGAAGTCTATAGAAAGCCAAATTGGACATATAGAGAAGGATGAAAAAATAGAACATGGTAATGTGATAGATCATGATCAGAAATCAACAACTGGTTTAACATTGGGAGAAGATCAGAAAAGACCTGGTATTACTTCAGTTGTATCAACACAACTTTCTTCAATGGAAGTAAAAAACTTGGCTAACTTTTCTTCAGTTGGCAATGTCAAACAAGTTATTGAAACTCTACCCATGAAGACTGAACTACCTCAAGTTGTATCAATCATCCCAAACAATAATCTTACCGCTGCTGATATTTCCATATTGAAGAGGTTGAATAAGCACTCAACATCAATATCCCAGATGAACTCATTATTGCTTCAGAGTCATGTTTCTTCTCACTCTGGGGTAAGATTTAACTTAGAGGTTTCATTTCGAGTAATGGAGAATAGGCTATGATTTCTGAGTAACAGGTACTTTGTTGGTAATAGAGGCCCCGGTGGTCTTCTGTGCATGATCGTGAACTTCTATTGGCGAAACGAGAGATCGAGAATGCTCCTGTTTTAAGGAATACTCCAGGACTTTATGCATCTGTTTTTCGAAATGCTTCCATATTTAAAAGGTACACCTGTTTAATTGTCCAGTATCATCACATGTTTTAATTGCACAGGTTTTAGATTACTTGCAAGCTCATTGAGATAAACTTTTTCTGCAATATGATCGCAATATAACTATTAGTCAAAGTAATGGCATCAGGATTCAATATTATGTAGTTCAGCTAAACCAGGGCAAAAAATTCATGATTCTCTTTAAACTCCCCAGAAATACTCACAACTTCTGGGCAGGGGAATAACATTTTATGCTTATCTGATTAATTTTAGTTTGAATGTCATTTCAGGTACTTAGAAGTTTTATTTGTTTCATATTGTTACATAGCATTCTGGATATGTCTTATAGACTTCATGTCTAGAATTTTGACAGTTGGCCCCCTTTTTTTCTGGATAGTCGTCTCTCACAATGACAAAGCTGAAGCTTCTGTGTTCATGTCATGTGCAGGAGTTATGAATTGATGGAACGCATTCTCAAAGTTTATATCTATAGAGAAGGAGAGAAACCCATATTCCATCAGCCACGGATGAGAGGAATATATGCATCAGAAGGATGGTTCATGAAACTAATAGAAGCAAACAACCATTTCGTTGTGAGGGATCCCAGGAAAGCTCACCTATTTTACTTACCCTTCAGTGCTCAGATGTTAAGGGCTGCACTGTTTGAACGAAATTTCAAGAGTCAGACTGACCTACAGAATCATCTGAAAAACTATGTGGAGTTAATCGCTGGGAAATATCGATTCTGGAACAGAACTGGAGGAGCAGATCATTTTCTTGTTGCTTGTCACGATTGGGTATGTTATCCATGCATTTTTATATATGAATCTCATGAATTATAATTATTCAAGTGTAAGCATCTAGGAATATTGTTGTTAGAATGCTTTTTTATTTTTGTAATTTATGAATTTTAAGACACTTACCAAGTTGTTGGAATAGACTGTTGCCCTAAGGTTCTGGTAATGACTAATGATGCCAGTGGTCTGAAGATCTGGAGTGCTAGTGAGATTAAGTGAACATCATCATATTAATCTTAGAGCTTTATGAATTAATTTGACACATGGCATTCCAGGCGGCCCGACTCACGAGGCAGCACATGAAGAATGTTGTCAGAGCTCTTTGCAATGCCAATGTTGCTCTAGGCTTCAAGATAGGGATGGATACTACGCTACCAGTTACATATATACGTTCCGTAGAGGCTCCTTTTAAAGAACTTGGAGGTAATCCTCCTTTAGAAAGCTCTATTCTAGCATTCTTCGCAGGAGGCATGCATGGCTATCTGCGACCTATCTTACTGAAGTTCTGGGAGAATAAAGAAGCTGACATGAAAGTCTTTGGTCCAATGCCTCGAGATGTTGAAGGCAAAAGAATTTACCGGGAACACATGAAAAACAGCAAGTATTGCATATGTGCCAGGGGCTATGAAGTCCATACACCTCGAGTGGTTGAAGCCATATTTTATGAGTGTGTCCCAGTGATCATATCTGATAACTATGTGCCTCCTTTCTTTGAGGTACTGGACTGGGAACTATTCTCTGTGTTTGTCCAAGAGAAAGATATCCCAAATTTGAGAAACATTCTGCTCTCAATCAGAGAAGAGAGGTATCTGGTAATGCAGGCAAGAGTAAAGGCAGTGCAAAAGCATTTCCTTTGGCACAAAAAGCCTGAGAAGTATGACTTATTTCATATGATCCTTCACTCAATTTGGTACAATAGAGTGTTCAATGTAAAGACCAAGTGATGGTGAACTTGGTCTCAATTGTTGCCTTTTGGAACTGGTGAAGCAGTAGCCGAACAATTCTCAGTGACTCGGAGGAAAATCATTTATAGTATGAAATAACCAAGAAGAAAGGAAAATGGAGAGAACTCAAACCATGCAGATACAACGTTGTCATGCCAGATTGTCCGGCTGATAAGAGTTTGTTGAAGTGCAGGAACCGGTGTGCCTCTGATGGTTGCTGTTGCTACTACTGTAGTTGCCAGATTTAAAATGTTAATTGTCCTTGATCCAAGAGGGACTGACTTGGGTAAACCTGGAAACAATACAGGGTTATTCAAGTTAAGTCTAAAAGATTTGGTCGAATAGCCAAGTAAGGAAGGAATGTTCAAATGGCAAGTTGGATGACCGTGGATCTAGCATTTGTAACTAATTTTTCAAAAAAATTTTCTCCATGGTCCATTGAGACTATAAAATATAAATGGAGGGCAATTAGTGTATTTTGTATCCAAATCTTATTCACATACAATAGTTTTCTCCGATTGTTCTAATTTCTCTAACCTCTATATGTGTTTTCTCTCGATCCGAATATTCATCTTCCACCGGTTAATACTCTAAAGAATACTCATTGAAGGTTTACGGGATCATCAATTTTTACATTCATTTTAATCTCTCTTTATTTACAGGTCAAGTGGACATAAAATGTGCAGTTGCAAGGGAATTCAATTTGCCAAGCTTTTCATTGTATATAAGTCGATCATATATGCTGTCGCAGTTCAACTGTTTCTTGTTGGAGCTTAAGCTTTTCTTGATACTGAAAATGTTTTGGCTGATGCAAAAGCTTTGTCAACATGGGTGGTCAGAACTTAAGAAGGTTGTACAAATGCTCAGATGCGGCCATGTCGCATGATGACGTGGGTGATATACTCCTGCTAGTGTAGTAGGTGTATGCCAGATTGGTGAACGGTTGGAAACGATCCACGTGTCCAATCCCTACACGAGTCGAGGAAATCACTCGGGCATGTGAGCAATGGGACGCAAAGATGGATTTGCACAGCATCTACTCCACTCGCAAATTTAGTAATGATTACCTTGGTTCATCCCACTATAAATAAAGTACTTCTCTCCCATTTGTGGGATTAGCTAATTTCACTACAGAAAAGCTTACTCTCTCTCTCTCTCTCTCTCTTGTATTCTCCAAACTATAACTCAGCTCGCTGAGCGCAACCTAACTTTACTCATTAATACAATATCAATGGACGTAAGATTTGTTTGTGAGTATCCGAACCACTTTAAACATTATTCTTCTTTCTTTATTCAACTAAATACTTCCATAATCACGTATAACTTCTGAGCCCGCTTAACATTTCTCACGTATGAATAATTGATGTCAAAATCAAGCATAACATTTTTAAATCAATCTTTCTTTCTATCTCAGTCATATGGTCTAACAAATAATTATGCGACGCTGTTATCATCAAGAAGAAAGATAAAACGCTTCGTTTTGGAAACAAAACTTGTGGCCGTCTAAAGCGAGATAGCCGTTAGCCTTTCCCCAGCCTCGAACTATAACAAGTAGTCACAGGCTCACAGCTTCCACCTTCAGTGAAACTGGAGAAGCGAAGTGTAATGATGACCCACCGAGCTTATTTTAAAATATTCAAAAATTGAATATTCTCTTTAAATCTTTGGCTTTTTCCAATCAATAATGACACTTGCAACTTGCAAGTTGCATTTAATAAATTAATAATCTTCACCACCAAATTAAAGAAACAAAACACACTGTTCTCCAATTGTTAATCACAGTAGGTAATCTTACTAAAGTACCGACTCTTTCATCCAATCAAGAGACCAAGAAAAAGAAAAAGAAAAAGAAAAATTCTAATTACTACAGTATTATGATTATTGTAAACTTTTGTATATGCATGCATATTGTTCACACTCACTCAACTTCCTATGCCGACAAGTTACTGAGGTTAGGGTTTCTCTGTCATGTCTCTGCTTTTCTTTTCTAATTTCTAGTAGGACTAAACACGATGATCCTTTTTAAAACATTATTTCTGGGTTCTGTTTGGTTGCTCAGTAGAGAATTTAGAGAATGGTTTGACATCAAATTTTTGTATTTCACTTCTTTCCGTGGTGCATAGTTTACTTATTTTTTGAATTTTGAATTTTTTTATATAAATGTATTAATGATTGAGATGGCTTGTTTAGTGACCAAGTTTAAGATAATTTGCTGATACTTCTCTCCCATCAATCTATTTTGAATGTTTCTGAATTGTCCATGATGCCTGTAGTCTTCTGGTGTTCGAATTAAAGATTTTTTAAGTTGATTATGATTTTCCTTTGTTCACTGAATATTAGTTTCTGGGTGGTAATGCAGGTTTGAGAAATGGGTGAGTTATCTTCCCATGCTGAATGAGTAAGATAAGGATTTGTTTTGTCAGTAGATCCATTTCTAGTTATGGAGTCACTATCTCAATTTGTGAAACTATTTCATGTTCAAACTCGAAGATGGCTTTTTGTGGTGGGGCTGTTAGCTGTTACTCATCTATTATTTCAGTCCCTGTTGCTTCCATATGGGAAAGCTCTTCAGTCTCTGTTGCCTGATGCTGAGCTTCCAATACATGATGAAAGTAGCCAGCCTACTTTGAAAACTTTGACAAAATCTGCAATGGTTCGCAACCCTCTTACAGTCAATGCTTCAGACGAGACTAATGATTCTGTGTTCAGAGAGTTTGTGGAAGATGGTGACAATTATAATCTTGATAGAGAAATTGGGCATGATAGTGGGCTAAAAGGAATAGTCAGAGACTTAAATGATGGTTTTGTATTTGAGGGGAATGGCCAGGATAGTTCTATTGAACTTGTTACTGATAGAGAAGTGGATGATGAGGATGTTGAAGATCTTATTGGTAGTTCTGCACTGGATAGTGCTAAGAATAGAGAAAATAGTTCAATACTGGAATTAGCCAGTGAAGCCAGACATGGTCTCCCACTAGAGCAGATTGTGAAGCTAAACAGGGAAGTTTCAACAGCAAATACTCAAGAGCAACATACAAGTCAGACGGCTAAAAATTTGGAAGGTCCTAAAACTGTCTCAACTACATTAACTCCATTTGAAAACATCACTTTTTTGATAACAAAGGTGTCAAATGCAAGTTCTTTTGTTAGTTCTGTTGTTCCGCCGAGTAATCCTGTGACTTCAAAAAATGTTTCTGCATTGACTGGTTCTCCTGGGAAGAAGAAGATGAGGTGTCTATTGCCACCAAAAACAGTAACATCAGTAAATGAGATGGACCATATACTGATGCAGCGTCGTCGGTCTTCGCGAGCAATGGTATAAATTTTATTGGAAATATTCGGGTCTATTACTTAATGCCTTGGTTAATAGACAACCTTAAATTTTTTTATGTTTGATTGTAGAGACCACGATGGTCCTCCATACGTGACCAGGAAGTTTTGGCTGCAAGGGCGGAGATTGAGAAGGCTCCTATTGCAGTGAATGATCGAGAACTTTATGCTCCCCTCTTTCGTAATGTTTCCAGGTTTAAAAGGTAAGCCTATAGGTTATGCTTTGCTCTTGAAATCTTAATTGACATTGTGGACGCTACGTAGACACTTTTTCTTAACATATAAATATATATATTTACTGGACAAAGATTTTCTTTGTCCTTACTTTTATCTGCTTGCCCTTGGTTTTGGAACCTGCTCTAACCCATGGGTGATACAAGATGAATTTAGTCCACCTTTAAGATGCATAAATAGAATTGAGGAAAACACAAAAGAGAAACAGAACACCCTTTACTAGCAGTAATCACCATGTGTGCCCCTATAGTTGTGCTCTTTTAATTTTCCTCGCTGTATTCAGTTAATGGAATTTTCCTATTTTAGTTATGGGAGGCAGAACATTCTGCATGAATGAATTGCAGCATTCTAGTGAAACTTCTAGCATTTTCTGTTGCAACTCCATTTAGTCCCAGTGTCACATTTAGATACTTGTTTACTTAATGTTCTTAATATGGTTTAAGTATAGGGGCTGTATAAAGCTACCATGTGATTGCTCTTTAAAGTATTGTCAATGAGGAATGCTTTCCAGGAGCAGAAGGTGTCTAACTATGTACTCTGTCAAAAGTTTGTGACCAACTCATTTGTCTTAAAAAAGTTTAAAGGGCATTATTGCATCTGAAAGTATGTTCTACAGTATGAGTTTGAATTTTTGGTATGGTATGGCTGTTTCTTCTCCATATTAATCATCTTAAATCTGGGTGGCAGCTTGATTGATTTAGCTCAACTCGATTTCTCCAGTGGGCTTGCTTGGCCCATAACTTGAATTAAAGCACAGTAAATCTGCTCTTGCCAGTAACTTATTATCTAGTATTGTGGTATGGACTATGGAGTCCTATCCTTTAGGGATAAACAAAATCATCAATGTTCATTTTTTGTTCAGTCTGATTGTGTACAAGCAAAAGAGGTTTAACTCATGTCAAGCTAAGATTAATAAGTTCCTCTCAATTGCTCGTTTAATTAGAAGAAAAATAAATTTTTCTAGATCTAAATTTCAGCACTCTTAATATTGAAAAAGTCTGCTGTGATTCCCTTCTCGAGGAAGAGTTCCAGTATCAAACTTCCACTCTGCATTTTCAGGAGCTATGAACTCATGGATCGCACACTCAAAGTCTATGTCTATAGGGATGGGAACAAACCCATCTTTCATCAACCTATACTCAAAGGATTATATGCTTCGGAGGGATGGTTTATGAAATTGATGGAGGGAAACAAACATTTTGTTGTGAAGGACCCACAAAAGGCTCACCTGTTTTATATGCCATTTAGTTCAAGGATGCTGGAGTACACCCTTTATGTTCGCAACTCTCACAACCGGACAAACCTACGCCAATACTTGAAGGATTACAGTGAAAAAATAGCAGCAAAATATCCTTACTGGAATAGAACTGGTGGAGCAGATCATTTACTTGTTGCCTGCCATGATTGGGTATGCTATACTTACGTCATTTTTGTCTTTCTATTAAATATTATGGGACATATCACTATGTCAAATTAACGGGAAGGGATTATACTATAGCATAAGTTTGATTACTTGACAATAACCTATTGAGTTCAAGTTTAACTGACTTCTTTCCCATTGGCCATGCCACATTGATTTGAGGTTCTCTGGTCATTTCAGTGAAAATGTGGGTGAGGAATAATAATCTGATATTTTGAATTTTGTTCTATCAGAAGACTTGAGTCACCACTTTTTATGTTGCATGACACCGTTGTATTGACAAAGTTTACTAACTTTTTTGTGTACACATTCACACCTCTATGTGTAATATTTGATGTATTGAGCTCGTATAGGCTCCATATGAAACGAGACACCACATGGAACATTGCATCAAAGCACTTTGCAATGCAGATGTCACAGCAGGCTTTAAGATAGGAAGGGATGTGTCTCTTCCAGAAACATATGTCCGCGCAGCAAGAAACCCTCTTAGAGATCTTGGGGGAAAACCACCTTCACGCCGGCGCAATCTTGCCTTCTATGCTGGTAATATGCATGGATATTTACGTCCAATATTACTGAAACACTGGAAAGACAAAGACCCAGACATGAAGATCTTTGGTCCAATGCCTCCTGGAGTTGCTAGCAAAATGAATTACATTCAACACATGAAGAGCAGCAAGTACTGTATATGCCCTAAGGGTTATGAGGTCAACAGCCCTCGCGTAGTTGAGGCCATCTTTTATGAGTGTGTACCTGTAATAGTATCAGACAATTTTGTGCCACCATTTTTTGAGGTCTTGGACTGGGGAGCGTTCTCAGTTATAATAGCAGAGAGTGAAATTCCCAACTTGAAAAATATTTTGCTTTCAATATCAAAAGAGAAGTATCTTCAGATGCAACTGGCGGTGAGGAAGGTTCAGCGACATTTCCTCTGGCATGCTAAGCCTGAGAAGTATGATCTCTTCCACATGACCCTTCATTCAATTTGGTACAATAGAGTCTATCAGATAAAACCTAGATAACAAGGTTAAATTCTCAAGAAAGTGGAAAAGATGAGATATAGAAAGCAATTCTGGTTGGAGCCTTATAATATTTCTTCCTACAAGCTACAGAAAGCTTCTGGTTGAATTTAGAATGAGCATGTACTCGTATATGTAGTTAAAACTTTTTCAAAGACTACCAATGTAAATGTATGCTGTTATGCCATTTTCCTTTTATAAATGTATTTGTTAAAAGAACAAAATTTTCTTCCATTGAGTAACACAACCAAAGGTAGTCATGTTCTTTCATTTCCTTTTCATTATAAAACTCATGGTTTTTCTCAGTAGGTCGCTGGCTTCTGAGTTATGATTCACCAGGAAACAACGTAAAGCGAACAGGTTTTGTATTGGCATTAATTGTTTGGCTTCTTGTGGTTCCGGAGGATCCAGCATCCAGGTACAGAAGAACCAGGAAACGAAGAGTTTTTCCCCCTTTTCTGGTCTGACTCTTTGGTTTCACGAATGCTGATTTTAAGAATGAGTGATTACTCTTTCTCCGATGGTTTTAAGAATGAATAATTGTCCTTCTCCAATCCTTAACTGTCCGATCTGAGAGTGGACAACTACCTATCATAATTCTTATGGTTACAAGCTTTGATATTTAAGTCGTCAATTGTTAGCTATAACTTCACGCTGTAACTCGAGTCTTCTTACACGTAACTACAAATTTGAAAATCTGATTGCTTTATTTCAATTTTCAGGGAGACTCTTCAACGACATTTGTCCATTCTAACCAACGCAACACATCCCAACACGACACACGTCGCCCATAAGCAGCAAAAACCTATCCACTTAAAACACTCCTTTTCCTTCTTCCTTCACGTGCCCCCTTCCATGCTTTTCTTGCCTCTTACGCTTACTCACACTCACTCATATCTTCATTTCTGTCACCTATCTACCACACACATTCACTTCTTTTATGGATCAATATTCAATTTTCCGCTTTCGTAGTTGTGATTTTTCATATTTAATTGGTGTTGAAAGTTGATCCGAATTTATTGACACCCCTTTTCAATAAAATCTTGAATTTATTTTATTTATATATAAAGAAATGGCTTGCTTCTATTTAAATTTCGGTGGAAGGGAATCATGGTCAAGGTAGGCCAGACAAAGATTTAGTGTAGATAGTGTATTCAAAAGCGATTGGGTAAAGATTATCTATTGCTCCATTCTTATTCCATGAGTCTCTCTTTATTCGGTTGTTACCATTCCCGAAAGAGAAAAAGAAAATTCTCTGTTTTTACTTTAACCTTAAAGCATTTTTTTTGTTGTCAATTTTGGGAAAAAATATTTGGCTTTTTGGGAAACTGGGTTGTGTAGATTATTTTATTTTATTCCCTATTCAGTTTTCCCTCTATAAATCTGTCTTACTTCTCATTCTGAAATCTGAAGAAATACTGCTCTGCTCGACTACTTATTTGTTTCTGGGTTTTGTAGATTTGAGTGTCTCTTTTGTTGGTGAGCCATTTATTTTTGTTTTCTTACATCTGCTTTTTGGTGTTATGCTCAAATTTGGATCCTCCGCCCGTTTATAATGGGTGTGATGTCTGGGTTTTTCGGCTGCGTGTGGAAATGGAAGTGGTTATGATTGAACATTTGGCCTTTCTTCTGCTGGTGATTTTTTGCTTTCAGGATAGTTATTGCTGATTTCAACATTGTTACAAGCTCATTGTCTTGATAGAACACAGAAGAATTTATTAAAAAAGAGCGTTTTTTTCAGTCCCTTGATGCTCACTTTTGCTACATCTATTTTTCTTATCACGTCTTTACTTAAAGATACAAGCTTTCCTCTTTGGCATTTTAAACTGGTTAATGTTCTTCTTTCAAACTTTCTACGAATTAGATTTCCTGCCACGGATGTGTGTTTTCTTGAGAGATCCCTGTTCTATCTTAGTAATAAATTAAGTTTGCGCGAGAGTCCTCTAAATCAGGTTGATAATATTTTCTATTATTTCAGGATTGGACGAACCAATGGGAGATTTACATGTTGATGGAGATATTTTTGAATCCCCTTCAACTGTGAGTGATTACTTCCCTATGATTGATTTATCAAAAAATCACCATAATGTTTGTTTCAACTATGCCTGGATTTTGCTGTCTAGAAGTTTTGTCTCAATGTTCTATCCCAGAGTCTCTACCGATTATATATTTCCTTCTCTATGATTCAATTCTTATAAGACAATCGATGATTTTCATATGAGCAGGTTTCAAAACACTCCCTGTAGTGGAGGTTAGATTGTGGATTCATCTACGCTTTGTTTGAGAAAAGGAAATAAAAGGTTTTCTCATAAGAACCTCTCCCAACTCAGCCAACAACAACAGGAACAGCAAGCCATAAAACAATAGAAATCCGGAAAAGCAAGATAACCAACACTTCTACTGATATTCCAGTACAAAATACACAGCAAATAGAAACTAGCAAAGCTACCCAACACAAGAAAATCAAACAAAGAACTCAAACAAGAGAATCTAAGACAGTACTGGACGTCGAGGGCCAGCTCCTCCCTAAATGCTAGACTTCGAGGGCTAGCTCCTCTCAATTTTCCCTTCTATTATCTTTTTTTCTCACATCTGCTCTCTTCTCCCTTTTTTATTCTCCAGCTCTCTCTCTATAACAGAATCCCTCACTTACCCATTCCTCTATTGCCATCTGTCGCTGTCTAAACCCAAGGAAACTTCCTGCCAACTTCCCTTCAATCCACTACCTTATTGCCTTGTTCTCCTGCCATATACCAGCACTATTGAGGTCTCATCATTTTCCAATAATCTGGAACTTAATGAAGTAGCTCGTGTATGTGGATGATTCATCTTGTGAAATACTATTCAACTGATTTTTTTATTTTACCTTGGTGACCCGATGTTATTATAATCCAAGTCATAGTCATTCTAGTTTGGTTTGAAAGCTCGGTTTCCCTGTGTAACATAGATTCTCTTATCAGGCCTGCTATGACGTTGTGAAGAACACAAGTCTTTTCTATTATCTTGGGTTCTGCTCGTCGGTGGATGATCTTTTTTCCCATCTCTTGACGTTCACTGCTTATATAAGTCGTCGATTCATTCATTTCATTGGTGAGTTTTTCACTTTGGTTTCATGTATCTGGGCTGTTGTGTTTTGAGTCTCTGTTGTAACATCATCATTACCTTTAACATGTATGATGTTATATCTGTCTAACCAACTGTTTTGGTTTGGTGATGTTCCTTCGTTACTCATATCATAAATTGTAAAGGATGTGTTTCATTGCTATGTTGTACTACAGAGGATCTTGCACTCCGAGATATCTATAGATACTCAGAAGATTTGGTTGTCATTTCATCTGGACAACATCCAAGAGCTTCAAGACAAAGCATTTGTAAATCTGCTCTGGAAGAATGTTCTTCGTCATCTAATTCTTACATTGCTGATACAGTGCGTGGAAGAAGAGCCTTGGACCTCAAGAAAGGATTGTTTGTAAATAAAAGATTCGAAGTTATAGAAACCAATTACAGATATCAGGGCATCCCTTTCATTTTTCACTGGTAAACAGTTCGTTTTCTTCCATTAATTCACCAAAAGTTTGAATATGAATTATTTGTGACATGTGCATGTGCATGTTTGTGTATATTCTTTGTTTTTGCAAGTGTTGAATATGATGTGTGATGCATGATCTGGTGGTTAAATAAGGGAATTGCATGTCTTCTACCTTGAGTTATTTCCTCACTCATGCCTCTATCTTTGAAATTTTTCATTCTCTGTTGCGGGTCATGCAATTGTTTCTTCTGCTTGTAGGTTGATGCTTCCATTGTTTGGTTTACAACTTGCCTGGAGATTGACACTGGGTTGCTGGAGATGTTCTTTCTATTACGTCAAATGTGCTCAAGTTCAAGTTCGTAGGTAAAAGTAGTTTTAACTTTCCCTGAATGGTGACTTGCAATTCTCTTCTCACATTTGAAGTGTTAAACCTGTTTTTATGCAGTGAAAATCATAATTACATGGCTTTTACATAACTCTATTGCTTGATATTCGTTCTCACATAGTATGAATAATCACTTTGCCATCTTTAGCATTATTTCTCGGGTGCGTACTACTTTGCGTGGTTCTTCTGATGATATTGGATGGTTGCAAAACACTCCGGGACTACCTCCTGTGGAAGATGGAACAGCGAGATTTTTGGAACTCCTCGACTCCATAAGGTATGAACTAATTTAACTTTGATTTTATTTTCCTTAATTGAGCAGGATTTTTTTTTAATTGTTTTGTTAATACCATCTTAAAAAAATTCATAATGTTAAGAGAAATCTCGAATTTCTCTCTGAAAAATTTTGTCCCAAATTTGCAATACTAGGCATGGGTACCACTGAAAATTATTTCTTCATGCATCTGACTAGGAAACTTGTAAGGGAGAGTTACAAATTTGCAATACTATGCATGTATGTGGTTCCTTTACATGTATTTATGGTTTGTTTTTCCCCTTTGGGAAACAAAAAATATTTATATTAAGAGAAACTCAATATTTAAACTTTTCTGAGAAGCTTGTATCTTAGCTATTAAAAAATAAAATCAAATACTTAAAATCTTCTAAAAGATGTCTATATTGTTTAAAATCCAAAAGTTTTTGCTAACAACTTTATTTATAAAAGCTATACTATAAATGCTCAACTAGGAAGCGTTGTATCAAACAGAGTCTAAACTTAAATCACATTTTTCTGAAGATCTGATCGCTTGTGCGTCATGTTGTGCTTTTAGGAATGGAGAGCACACACTACCAAACTCATTTGTTTATCTACTAATTCCAGGTATGATAATGTTTCTATAACCCGATTTTTGAGATTACTTTGATTTACCCATTTGACATTTGAGATTGTCTATACCCTGTATGATCTGAAATAGTTAATATTTGTCAGGCCTTTTTAGCAACCATGGTCCTTTATATTTTGTGGCCACTAAGCGATTCTTTTCAAAGAAAGGTCTAGCTTGCCATATTGCTAAAATCCACAGTGAGGTAATTAATCTGATAATTTCTAGAACTAGATTTAGCAGTGCAAAGTGAAACTTCCATTTGCTTGATAGTAACAGTTTGCAGTTTGCCCATGTGATTAATTCTTTCCTGTTTATTTTTAATTTTATGCTTAATTACCTTTTTTGGTTTCTTGTCACCTTCAAGTATAATGATACGTTTTCTAGCTTTTCATGTATAAAGGCATCAGTTGAGCACAATGCTTGGGAACTGAAGCAATACATCGAGGAACTTTA